GCTTTAACACGAAAGTGCACCTCATTGGTCATGTCACTAGTGATGACACGCAATCGGATATACTCGTCGTTGGCTACAGTCTTGTCTTCAGCCACCTCCAGGGCACCGGCATTTGGATCAGCCACAGACGTACTCTGGCCTTGGTTATCATCATTTGTGACTTCGGTTGCAGAGCCAGTAGCTACGTTGGTTGTATCCGAAGTGGACGGTTCTGTATTCGGAGTTTCCTCGTCGCTTAACATTTTCTACAAATACCAACAAAGACAAGTTGTTACTCGTCACGCCACTACAACGGTATACGCCCGTGCCTAATATATACATGTTTTTAGTCCTACAAACTAATTATTTCAATTTAGTTTATAGGTATAATATATATTATGTACGTGTCCCTCCAAAATCTAACGAGTCCTTTAATACTCACTACCAAAGTTTTGATGACGCTCCTCCAAACTCGGGTGTTGTTGTCGTCTCAGCGCAACACTCTATAGCTGCCGTTCAGACTGATTCAGACGTGATGCTGCAGCCCCAGCAATTCGTATAGCACGACGTCAAATAGACACACGGCACACGTCGAATATTCAATATTCGACACTAGGTATCCCACAAGAAATTTCGATTTCTATTATACGTTCATGCGAGTTACAAGTTACAACGAATGGCATTCACTATTCAGCATTGGCTTAATAACGGTAACAACACATGGTATTATAGTTTACCTGATAGTGTATATTATTATCAAAATAAAAGATGGCGGACATCAACAAACATAAGTTTTTTGTTTGTTTTTTTCATTCAATATCAATCGATATGACGTATTATTATTTATTTTAGCACGACTGGTAGACGCGACGCAATGATTTTTATTAAATTATGTAAAATTATAGGCAAACCAAATAATTCTGGAACATATCGTTATGTTGTATAACAGATTGTACTTAAATATACATTAAAATTGATACTATTTTGACGAAATGGGTACAACAAAAATATTTCTACAGACTCCCGATGTCCCATATTTATTCAGCATCTGACATCTAGTAYTCTACAGCAGTCAGTGTTTCTCAACCTTTTTAATATCACGGAATACCAAATAATATTTTTTTCATACGGACCCCTTTGAAAATTATCTTTAGACTACCAGCCACCCAGGCACCAGCCGCCGGTGGCCGGTGGTCTCTCACTTGCGATTTTAAGCTTTGAGCAACCCTAGGGTTCCGCGGAAGCGGAACATGGGACGTTAAGAAACACTGTTCTACTGGTCTAGGCATAGGTCTAGAGATACRATACGTGACCACGGTAAAAATCTTTTATTTATGACTATGGTTTTATACCAAGGTATAGTATACTCGGTGTWCGGTTACCATGGTAATATTTCAACGAGCCTGTTTGATTTTCGCGGAGATTTTGATTAAATTTTTGATTTACAAAATAAATATTACAGTTTAGTATTTAGTTTACCTTAAAAAATTCCAGGATAAATTGTAATCAATGTAAAAGTAAAATTCCGAATTTGAAGTTCATGAGATGAGAAAAAAAGTTAGCTCATACAGTTTCAGTCTATAAACGTTATGTACTTATCTCAATTTAATAAATATTTTCCTAACTATGAACAAAACAAAGTGTTAAGCACAATCCAAAGCTAATTATACTAATCATGTAATCTTTGTCTTTTTCTCCTWATTATTTCTAAAAATAAGTTTATGATCTGAACCAAACCCTCAATTCCTTCATCAGTATCAGTACAACTTGATATTTTGAAATTCTCTCTCTTCATATTCTGTACAATAAAATACAATTCTCCCTAACATTAAAGTTTCAACCTTTCAACCTACTTATAATTCTATATCGAACAAAAAGCTATTAAATTTCATACAATCAGTTACCTTATGTTCCACTTTCAAAAAT